CCTTGGCGAACATGAGAGATTTTTAATAAAAGTGTTTGCAAATGATCAAACCTGTTCCTATGGTGTAATTTAAGGCAATAAACGTTGTAACTGACAATACAATTATAACTGACAATAGCCATTATATCAATCAGCGCGTGTGTCATTAGCTTGATGTGCATTAGATATGCTGCACCAGTCATTGTATTGCAGGTTGCGTTTATCTCCGTAATGTTTTCAGCTATTTTCTTTCAGAACAGAGTTCATTTGTTCCTAATAAACTAAGATGCTAAGCATCAAACAGTGCAGTTGGTTGTTCACAAACTTACCTGCTCATCTCACGCATTATTGCACATTATTGCTGGGTGTGCTTCCTTTAAAACAGTCAGGAGCTAATATTACTTAATTAGCACATAATTATATACAATTCAAAGCAGCGGTGAGGCAGAGGTTGGGATGGTGGAAGCCAAACGCACAGTATCAGCAAAATGGCTGTAATGCAATAAGTGGTCTCAACTTAATGGAGTCAAGCCCTCCATTTAAGAGAATAAAAGCAGTGGTATGTAAGCGCTTTCTCTCTGGAGTCCGGGACTGCATATAAATCAGCTCAGAGCGGCCCGCCGACCGCTGCCATGTTTACATGCTGCCTGTGAAGATGTGTGCATCACAGACCTATGTCCGTGTGTGTGCTAAACCCTGTTTGTGGTGTGTTTTCTGTGCTTTAAATGTCAAACGTACTGCAGATCGACCCGCTGTCCTTGATTTCCCAGCAACAACACACACACTCAGGGAAGAATGGAAACAGTCTGCCAAATCCTCAGCAATGACTTTTATATAATTTGCAGTACACTTATGTTTTGCTTTACTTAGTAACACCTACCATTAACTTGGTTTATTCTGATATGATTATAATGTGTTTTTACAATATTAATATCTTAAATAGATTTAATATTTCTTATTTAATCTTATCAACTATTATTATTATTATTATTATTATTATTGTTGATGTTGTTGTTTTGTTTTGTTGTTATCAGTTTGTTTTTTAATGTCAATTTAATGCTGTCTAAATGTAAGAATGCTTATGCCATCTTTTTTATGTTAATATTATAGTATTTTATAGTACTTTGCACTTACTTATATTATCATATTATTCATTTTTATTAAGAAATTATGATTGCATTATATAATAATAATAATTATTATTATTATTATTATTATTATTATTATTTTATATGATAATATAATTATAATTTCTTAATAAAATGAATAATATAATTAATAATATTAATATAATTGAATAAAACAGAATTTAAAAAATAAATTTTTAATATGAGTGAATCAACATGCCAACATTATACAGCAACAAAAGTATTTTTATTTTATTTTTAGTTTTTAATTCTTTCATTTTTGGGGGTTTTTTTGTTTGTTTTTTTAATATGAGTGAGTACATTTTTAATATGAGTGAATCAACATGCCAACATTATACAGCAACAAAAGTATTTATTTATTTATTTTTTTAGTTTTTAATTCTTTCATTTTGGGTTTTTTTTGTTTGTTTTTTTTTTTTTTTCTTTTTTTTTTTTTTTTCTGTCCAGGGGATTTACCAGTGTACACCTGCATATTCCAGGCATAGATGGAATGTGCATCACATGCGGCCCATATTTTTTATGCCATATTTGTCTGGTTTGCTTGGTA